ATTTCATCAAAATATCTGAAAAATGACGGCCTGCAGCCTGAACACAAATACACATGGACAAGCATCAGACGGACAGACATACTTAGATCGATTCAGAAAATGATAGAAAGGGAATGATGAAAGGAGGGTCTATCTGAAGCGTTTCTGTACTACAAGTGGTGTAGAGTATAAAAATTCAAACATAAAATAAAGCTATTTTTTTCAGTATGTGAAACGTCCTTTCGACAAAAAAAATTATGCGCTATAAAAAAGTACAATTGTTTTTTTGCAAACTGTACATTAAATTGTCGGCTACGCTGCTGGTGACAAACGAACCATCCACACTAATTAGGTTATTGCGATCTATCAAAGCAAACGCATTACCTGAAACATAACCGCTTCGTTAAGTGACTTCAAAAGAAGCAAAAAATTGTCATCAGTTAATTGTTATTGTTGAATCGTTTGTTAGATGGAGTCAAGAAGATCCTATGTGCTTCAGTGTAACTAGGTAATGGCGCTTATTCGAAGTAGCTATAAGCAGCAAACATAATTTCCAATTAGAAAACGTTGAATACCACGACCTAATCGTGTTCGTAGGCAATACACGAGCAATTTAAGAAAGAGACGTAGGCAAAAATCAATAGTTCGTTACCATAAATATGTTGTTGCTTTCGAAAACTTTTGTATCAGCTAAAATCTCTATAATATACTGCAAGTGCCTTGAATCCCTTTAAGGATAGAGATTATTTTTGAACTACGTGTTTAGACTACTTAACAGATATCAATTAAAAAAATATTTCGAAAGTAATATCTCACTAGTGAACAAATTTTTTATTAGATCCTCCAAATGACCCTTTTTAGATTTGAATTTAAGAACTTAATTAGGGACGTATTTAAGAACTTTCATAATGCAACAACGAATTGAGTAAAATTATGTATTGCGGATTGTAAGTTTCTTACTTATTTATCGCTTACATTTTTAAACTTTTTTTTTTATCATCAACTAAGACAAGTTTTACGAAAATTCAAGTTTCTACATGTGTTTTGTGTCCAAGTCATCCATATAAATCTTCGAAATAGGCAGAGATTCGGAATTTTTTATTGTTCCGTAATAGGATATTCGATGCGTTCATTTTCTAGAAAAAAACGGAAAGACAAATCTATGTTCACGTCCCCTGGTGAAACTTGGAAAAATGCTTGTTATGTATTGTCTAAATAATATCATAAACTTTTAATAAACACGAAACAAAAAAAAAACTTCCTTTAGGCGAGCAATTCCAATATTGGAAACTTGCGTTTCTATAGAAGGTTAAATTTGTATGTACGAAACATTTCCTCGTTACATAAGTTTTACGAAAGAAGAAAATACTGTCGACGTACGTTTTATGAAAATGGATTTGAGCTTGAAATAAATAAAACACATCGTTACATTCCTTTAAAATTTCGTTGCAAACTCAGTTTGTTGTACAATACGTTTGTGTGCACATTTGTCTTATCCCAATACCTAGTTAACATAATAAAAGCTAAAAGTTTGGCAACTCTATTATCATCATATCGTAAACTGTTTAGCAGCTGATTTCCTATTTAAATTGTTTGTGTATTTGAAGTTGAGAATTTTCACCAGGCAGATTTTGGAACACATATTTCTCACAACGGGCGATCGTTCGGAAGTTTAACCTGCACCCAGTAACAAAAATTGCAGTCCTGTACTTTTGTGATAAGTACCAAGAGTTTTGTTCATCATTCTTCATTTGTCAGAACATGGAAAGAAAACACTTTTCACGCCGTGTAAGTTTTTGTTCTCCAATAGTTCAACCGGTTCAGGATTATAGGAGAGAGAAAAACATACATCTCCAGCCCAGCATGTACCTGTTTCAGTCAGCACAGTCGTTGTGAAAAGTATAATTTGAAAATCGAATATATATATATCTTAAAATGGATAAAAGAAAGACCAAGGCTCGGTTCAAAAGGTTACAATCTTCTGCTTCTGTTGAAAACCCAAACACAACAGGAACACTCCTTATTAAAAAGAATGCGATTCCTAAAAATACTTAATACTTAATACCATGCGAAAAGCGCGGTTTAAGTACAGATCTGAAAAAATAAATTATCACAGCCGATGAGAAGAAGAAATTCGATTGGATGAATCGTTGCAGAGGTGTGTACTACTGTAAGTAGCCTAAATGGGCTTAAATTCATCTTAATTGTTGTAATGATTTTATTGTGTGCAGCAGCTAGGATAACGATTAGAACCTCGATTTCTATACTTCAGAGTATCTCGATTGCTTTACGTCAAATCCCTCTTTAAATGAAAAGAAAACGAATGGAGTTACTTCTACTTTGGGTTTGCCGGCATGGTCATGCGACTTGTAGGAGAAATGTGATCAAAGGAATTGTAGCCGAGGAAAAAAATTGTCATTTTGATTGTATTAACGAAATCCTTCGGTGACTGCACAGATTCGACTTTGAGAACTAAAAAAAAAAAAAAATTCTTTCATATTACTCCCAGTTGTGACTGAATCTTTCATCTTTCTTTCTCGATTTCCTATAATGCTGCACTGGAGTCGTTGATTTTTTTCTATTTGAATGCAGGGTCGCCTATAGGACGTGCATGATAATTTTCGTCGACGTGTCTGTTGTTTACTAATAGTAAGCTGAAAATAGAAAAAGCTGCCACTAAGTGTGTAGTCGTAGTGGAGGCATGTCTTTAAAACCATCAAATCTCTTTACAGTTTAAGTTTTATCACTAGGTGATACAGATCCAGATAGACATGAAAAAGTTGATTCAATATTTTATGGTTGAAAGTCGTTTTAGCTACACTAAAATAAAGTTATGTGATTATAACGAAATAAGATGTAATTCTAGGACTTGAATGTAAAAAAAAAGAAGAAATTGTGGGCGCTTCACTATGCAACCATATGAATAATCAAGAATAATTGATACTTCTAAATTCAACTCGTTTTTTGTTTCAGCATTTATTTGCGTTTGGGTTCGAAAAGTTCATGAAACGGGATGAAATAGTCTCGAAGGTAATTACTACAGCGTATAACTGATGGAAGATGCTCTCGCAGTTAAAGAACATGACATAACCAATCAATCAACAAGTACGGACTCGATTTTTCAATTGCTCTCAGATGTGACCAAATTCATACAATCGAAAACAAACTAAAATTTACTTTTAAAAAAAGTAAAAAAACTATAATGGGTCACAGTCTACTATAAAAGATTGTACGTCACTCTTTAATTATTCATATAACGACTTTTTAAAATAAGCTGTTATATGGGAAATGGTCGGAAAATTCATCAAGATTTTATGGTTAATAAACCAAAATTCAAATTTATATATTTTTGGCTTTGTTACAGTACAGAGTACACAAAGGTTTCGAAAGGCATTAGAAATGTGTCTTCGATTCATTCAATAATTGGGAACTTACGTATTAACGCCAAAGCGGCAAAAACTCCATTAAAAACCCAATAAAAGGCAATCTCTTAAACTTTTAAAAAAAGTTGTTGTTGTGGTTTTAGGAATAAATTTATACTATTTGGAATTATATATTTTCTCAAACTAGCTATGAATCAGAATAAAACAATTATACTAAAAATGAAATAAACGTAGAACAAGGTGTGAAATAAATTTGTCGAAAAAATCGTTCTTAGAAGTTTGAAATCTACCCACTTGCAAGTTACGGTAAGGACATGGCAATTGTTAATGGCGATTTTGATTCAAAGCTTCCGTAAAATATAGGAAGTGCCAAAGCTGTATTTGCATAATCTTTTCTTATATCACTTGCGTGTGAAGTGGCAAATATTTCTCCCAAATTAAACCGCTCTCTATTGCCTTACAATAGAATTTAAAAAGCTTTTAATAAGACCGTTTCAGTTTCAATAAGAGAAAAACACATCAAAGCATCGCGCGATTGCCAAGCGTGGGAATTGAAGTTTAAAACATTAAAAGCTCCATAAATATGAACCGGATGAAACAATATGTGGATTCAACTCCAATTTCTTCCAATAGAACTGTATACAGGTAACAGCGATAGATAGTGAAGCTTTCTCACATATTTTTTTGTTGTACTTATGTATATTTCATACTTATGTCATAATATTAGTAAGATTGCGAAGAGTAATACAAATTTTCTATAGCTAAAAAAGAGTGGGTTTCTAAAGAAAATTTTCCTTTTTTAATATTTTTAATGTTTCTGTAAAGAGCGAAATTCATGAGGTGGTCACTTTTCCTTGCCACCATACGATTTTCTGCAGCAATGCAATGCAAACTATGTGTTCTATTTGTTTAATGCAATATATCATTGCAGTAATGCATACCACAATTGCATATATTATCTTTAGAATTATTCTTATTTGCGAATTGATAAGCCAGTGAGGTGGACAAAGTTGTTGAATTCCAGGAAGCAAACAAGAATAAAGGTTGCATATGCAGTCAATCCCAAAATTAGTACATTATTTTTTGTAAAGACGAAGATTTCCTAAAAAGGTGCTGCATAAGCATAAAGAGCTTAAAAAAAGCAGTTTTAATACGAAAAAAAGAGGAATATCACATTCACTGCGCTGCAAAATACTACTTATTGTGAATATATAGAGTAATGACTAACTAATGACCACGACAACCCTATAAAGAAGATTTATTTCACAAAGTCAGTGAAGAGATCACAAATTTTCTTTTTGCGGGTGTTCTTATTTTTTTTACAATTAAATAAAAAAGAAAACTGTGATAAAATAAGAGTGTAATAACTATTCGTCGTTTCCATTTTAAATAAGTTTTTCTTTAATAAAAAGGTCCTGGCGAAATTTAAGGCTGGAATTCTACTATTGAGTTAACTTTGCGATTTATGAAAAGTAGAAAAAGTTGTTGATTTCTTTATTTTGTTGAGTTTTTATTTATTCGTGCTCCTAGCGAAAAATTAACGATTCTATATTAAACATTTATAAATATACCAAAAAAAAGGTGTTTGTTACCATTTCACTGTGTAGCAAACGGCGGTATATTAAACTAGGTGTGTGTTTGAGTGTTTACACGTGTGTTCATAGTTTTTTCTTTTTGCTAATGAAAATGTCTTCAAATTTCATTTAATTAATGTGAGTGAGCGACGGATCTTTGCGGTTTTTATTTATAGATGTTTCATTAAGAAAAATAAAAAAAAAACACCAACTTAAAAAGACAGTACAAAACGTATAAAAAGCGAATTAATGCGAATAATTAATAACGCCTAAAGAGATTATTCCACACTGCTCTGCTATCTTTATAAAAAGGATCTTTTTAACATCTTTCTAATCAGTCAGTACAGAAATGCATAAGTAGTAAGTGGCAACAATTTATTGTAATATTTTTCTATTAAAATTTTTATTTTTCTCTTGGTGAAGTTTATAAGCAAAAACTTAAGAAAAGCTCATATTTCGAAATAGTGAAAAAACAATGTCTGGTGAAAGTTAAAAGGCGCCGTTTCGTGACGCCACTTTTCCTACCGGCATATACTCGAATATCTGTCTTATTGTTTTTCAAGTTTTTACAATTCCCTGAAGCCTATACATATATACTTGTCACTATGAGTGTTCTACCATACTATTTGCTTTCGGTTTACATCGTCCCTTGCAATGCATCCATTGTGCCAAGAAAGAAGAAGATTCTATTTTGAGCGTGCATGAGTGTGTGCTTGTTGCATGTGCAATTTTCTAGCTTTATTGTGTAAAAAGGTTGTATTATTTTTATTTGTTCAACATACATAAAAGGCCCAACATCAATAATGCGACGTCGTTGTTGTTGACGTTGAGAGTTAAAAGAAAAAACAAACGTATTAAAAGGAAGGAATACTCCAACCATTCCCAAAACACAGTCAACATTACAAATCATTCACTCTAAGCTTTGGTAGTCCGCAGGTTAGTGACTGACTGAGTAAGGCGTGCTGCAGTAGATACTTAATATTAGGCACTTGTGGTTTATGTGACTGTGGGGGATAAGACGGTATCCGCACAAGCATACATTTTAAGCCCCTATATAGATATTTTGATATTTATTTCTCTCTGTACGTATATAAAACTCGAAAATATTGCATAATACATTGGCAATTGAAGCAAGCACGTAAGCCGAAATGTAATCATAATTTATATATCAATATTACTAAAAATGATATGAAGCAATTTAAAACCTAATCGGTAGGCAAGGCCTACAGTAGTTTACGTATTTCATTTAAACCTTGTTGTTATATAAAGACTTATCTTCTTTAGAAGCCTTATATAAGAAGGGATCCAGAAGGTCAACCGATATCATGTATATTTAGTGAAAAATTTATTAATCATTTCCTATTTTCATCAGAAACCAACAATTAGGCTATGTTATCATAGAAAGGCTTAATTTTGATGAGAGCACTTATACCGTAAGTGATAAGAAAAATACACGTCATACTGTGATCAAAAAGTAAGACCAATATTCAAGTCAAAATGCGCGAGTATGTCGAATATTAGAAGTATGTTTTTGAATTGGTAGCACTGTGGCCATAGCTTTGTAAGTATATCCCCAATCGGTAAATCTTATGCCTCTACTAATGAATATTTGATAAATTGCCATTAAAAAAAACATTTCATTTTTTTGTAAGAATATTTGTTTATATTGAAAGCTGTTCCAGTGCATACAATTCCGTTAAAATATATCAAAAATTTGCGACCTGTATGTTGAACGCAAAGGCAGACGCACACACGTCAAGCAATCCACTATCGCATTTGCATTCGCCTATCATTCTGACAATACGAGAATATAGCGTCTGGTAAAATAAATAAACATGATTTGGAACTTCTATTGCGAAAATGCATTTACCAGTCCAGACTTAAATAACAATTAACAATGTTATCGCTCGATGCCTGCAGCGATTTTAACTCTGTTAGTAAGTTAGAAATGGATTTGGTTTGTTTTTGCAAGGCTAAAAAAGAAAGAAGAGATCGCTATTTAAGTACCAAATGTTGGTGCTCCTTAAATTGCAGCTGATTTATTGCAAACGAGGTCGCCGTTTTTCCCCATGTAAAAGCTGGCAATGCAAACAATTATCAAATCGTAGAATATTTTTAATGAGTAATGTATGCGAATTTTTTTTTTTAATAAAATATACTTTGTTTGCGGACATGTGTGTATACGTGGATGTAAGCATGCATGAATTCTAAGGGTCATTAATTGGTAAATCTATATCATATATATATATATATATATGTTGCCAGATGTCTGCCATAAGAATACAATATTATATCAAAATCACAAATGTTTCTCCATCATTTCAGATTTATGTCGATTCAATTAGATTAGAACAAAGTACTCGATGATCATTACACTTATGCTAAAAATATTTCGAGTGATTTGATGCGTTTTTTTTTTTTTGTTTTAAATTCCATTTACAGTTTGTTGCATCGCTCGCAGCAACACATTGTATCCAAATGCTATATTGGCTTTGCTTGGTTATTTAGAAATATTTAAATATTTCCACCTATATCGAGCGATACGCTTATTTACTTATTGTCCATTTTCTTTTCATGTTTTTTTTTTTTCTCCTTTCAGTGGGAAGCTTTTTTTCTTTTTGGCTCGTTTCCAAATATTGTGAGAAAATATTTCGCGTTTTTCTGCTTTTCTCGATTATTGTGTCGATTTAATTGTTGCTTTGATAAATATCAAGTGCGAAAGGCGAACGAAAGAATTGATGTAATTGATAAATTGAAAGACATTAAAAAAGAGTATATCTTAGTGTATAGAACAACTAAGGGAATTCCTACAGGAAATTAGTCTCATTAAGTTTGTCTAAATATTCCGTAAAAATATCTTTGCAACCAAAAGACTATTTCTTTTTGTTAAAAACTCCCCCTGTCGTTAGTAAAGCTCAATACTTCGTATCATTTTTTTCCCGGTTCTATCTTCTATAAATACATCTGGATAGATTTGACGAGGGGTGCGTTAAAATTGTCGATTGGATAAATCTCCACTCCCCCTTAGAGAAACTTTTTTTGCAATCCAACTTATTTAGGTTTATTATCCCTTACAGATCTGAGTCATATATGTATAAGCTTCAAACACTTTTTTTTTATATGGTATGTTAAGTTTGTGTACAACTTTGTAACCGAAGTTCTTAAGGTAAACCCACCTATTGCTATATCAACCAATTCAGAGAATGATTTTGAATCGATCTAAACCTCTCTGTCTAAGGTCAGAAATTTTGGGAAATTTTGATAGAAATTTGTTGCAGTGAGGCTATTGCAAATGGTTCGGGTCGGCCTATTTTTGCGACCACTCCCCAAATAACGCCATATTTTGCCTACATTCTGTAATAGTATTTGGAAATTCTAAATTGGTACGAAAAATTTGGTTCAACTGGGAAAATGTTTTGAAAACTCATATAACCATTTCTACGAAAGCTGAATCTTTGTATAGTAAAAAGGTACAAGCTTTACTATTGCATGGAAGTCAACGTGATTAAATTTGGACCGCGTAGGTCTATATTTTGGATAAATATTCCTCCCATATGCGGGCCGTAAGTATACGAAAAGTATACGCTTGCATGCAAATAATGTATAAATTTTAATGTATTATTACCAAAAAAAGTGAGAAACTGTATTAGTCTTAGTGATGTAGGGTATATAAAGGACGGCCCTGCACGACTGGGATGTTCGCATATGCTTTTTCTCAGTGTTTCCGTCTTCTAGAGATATTCAAAGTATCAACTTTTAACCGATGGGCGATATAAGGTCGCGAGATGATCAAATCCAAGTTGTCGGTCAAATTGACCGGCTATTGCCTATTACAATGAAATTTAATTCGATTTGATTCGCATATTCCGTTATGGTCTGCATTCATAATACCCGTGCTGCTTTTTATATTCTAAACCACTTGTTGTGTAAGAATGTAATGTGTCTGTGAAGATGTCTACATTATTATTATTAGAATTTTAGATTAATGGAATAAATTCTTAGACTAAAAAAAAAGACATTGAGCACTAGCAACACAAGCTATCGGCTCTAACTTATAAAAGCACATTAGACATTGAGCCTAGTAGTTTTGATAAATTCATATATTGCATTGATATTCTCTTCTGTAGCTGATTGTATGATTTCCATAGCGTTTTTCGTTCCAAATGCAATAGTTGTAGCCAAGGTAAAGTTAAGGCAGTCACAGAGAATGTACTTTATAATGACAGTTTACAGATAACTTTTACTTTACCAATTGAGTTAGAAGTACATTCTGTCTGCCTACATGATATATGTTTTGGTATTTTCTGACGGAAATAATAATGTAAGGTGTCTTATAGCAGACCATGCTAGTTCATGACATTTTAAATTGTTTTTAAAAAGTCGTAAGACTTTAAGATTTAAATTTTGTGATTTATTCAAAGGAAAATTTTTCACTCTTTAACGCGCATCTATGTGAAATTTGACGCCAACATTTTTAGCACTTAATAAGACATGCCTGTTTACTTTTATCCACTGCCAGGTACCGCATGGTCAACTCAAGTAGTTAGTTAGTAGTTAGAAAAGAGCGATTTTGAAGTCGCCATATACGGGTTCAATCCTCAGTGCAGCAAATCATACTTCAATTACGTTGTGGGTGTGCGTGTAGCGATTACTCGGCCGCTAAAGGCAACACACTCATTACTCCTCTCACCTTCTCACCACCACCGTGTTATATGTAACGGACAAATCATGTGAATGATACGTCATGGAAAAAAAAAAGATAAAAATAAAAAAATGAATTTTTAACTTTTTAAAATGAGTGAACGTAAGCAGCCAAGAAGTTATATCAATTCTTGCTTCAAGAATAGAAATTCGACTTTCGAAATATTGCAAAATGTTTTGATGGCGATTCTATATCCAAAGCCAATTTTTTGATTAATATAAATTTTTCAAACAGGGCAGAGAACGCGTTGAAGACTATATATAAACTTTTTAACTATCCTTCAAGATATACCGATTACGAAAGTCAAGAAGCTTAACAATTGTCAAGTAGCGATTACTAAAGACATTGTCATGAAATTTTACACAAGTGTCAGTTAAAATGCTGCCTGCCTACCTAAGGAAGAAAAGTGAATCGCCCGGATAAACTCGCACGAGCTCTTCGAAAAACACCGACTACTTTTCGAACACAATAAAATGAATAAAGTAATAAACACTACACCGTTATTCGTGAAGCTCCACAAAAAGTCCACAAACTGTTAGCAGCGATGAAGTGTCCACTTCAAACCTTGAACAGGATTAATTAAAACTTTATCCCTTATCTCTCCTACGTTTTGCTTATGAATTCGAAAAGTTACA